CGTTGTGCAGCAGATCTCCAAAATCCATCGCAAGCATAAAGTCTAGCAAGACTGCTGTGGTAGTTCACGCCAGGAGTGTTATGAAAGCACGCTAAACCCTAAACAATAAGCCCCAAATCCTAAACCCTGTTAAGGACCCTTTAATGCGGTTCCAAGTGAGATGCAGGGCTATATCCTGCGAAGTCAAGATGTCCTGCAAGCTGCTTCTGCACTGCAAATCTAGGCTTGAAGCTACCCAAGCACATCCCAGAAGACATGGCTGTAAATGGGCTACAAACGCATTCTAGGGGTCCCTACTACGGGGGCTCTCTAGGGCTCATGTTTTCGCAGGTACACAGCACAGAGTACGCAGCCGCCTTCACGCGGAAGGGCGCGCTAAGACCAATCTGCATCTGCTTCTCCGTGTGATAAACCATGATCTGCAAGGCATGGGACAGCAAGGCATGGGACACTCCGCTCAGCTAGTATATTAGTATATAGTGGATAATATTGTCGTATTACATAGTATATTATAGTATATTCATGCCTGAAAACTGGCGAAGCATGGCCGCAAACCACAAGCAAAGTACAACCAGGTCACATAAAGGTGGGACTTGGGGGGAACTTCAACGCGTATGGCTCATTTTCAAAAACACCTATGACATAAAAAAAAGCTGCTCGATGTGGCACGTGCACATTTCGCAAATTTCAGGGGACCTGTCTGCATGAAAGGTATCAGGATCTGTAACATCAAGATGCTCCCGCAAAGGACCCATGTTTTGAAAATGCCCGCCAGACCGTTCAAGTTCGCTTACCTGAAGCACTGAACTATACCGTAAACCCAGGCCCTAAACTGGGACCGATGTAGGCTGCCTACAACAATCATCTGCAGGGAGCAAGTAGGGAGAATCGCCCATAATTAATGAAGATTATGCCCAGGAATATGCCAGTCAAGCCTAAACTCAAAAGCCTAGACCCTAAGCTCTAAGGCCTAAACCGTAAACTCTAAACCCTAAACCCTAAACCCAGGGCCTCTGTTGGTGCCGTCTGCACAGCCATGATCGGTGCTTGAAAGGCTGTGTTGAGCTGCGCCTGATAGGTGTGTCACGAACAGGACGCCTGGGTACGTGGGAATCCTGAGGAACTGTTAACTGAGGACCATATAGGCATACAAGGGCTAACTAGGCTTAGGGTTCAGGGTGTAGGGTTTCAGTTGCATGAGGATTTGTGATTTAGGGCTTAGGGTTTAGGGTTATATGGGTCATGTCAGAAAAAGCTTGGCCAGGCACAGGGCAAAAAAGAACCCGCCTCTGTATCTCTGTACTGACAAGATGGACCACGGTTTAGCGTTTAGGCCTTAGGGTTCACCATCCATTGAAGCCAGTTGCTAGGGTTCACTCACAGCCAAAGTGTTGACTATTTATATCGCCGAATCTAGGGGTCAAACGACCACAGCAGCAAGGCTGATCAAAGTCCACAAGCCCAGATCCACACATGAAATTTACACCCTTTACCCTAAAACTCCAAACCCTGAACCCTCAACCCTTCAGCCTGAACCCTATGGCTGCGTACTGTAGAAGCGTGTCTTTGTGTAAGTACCATCGATAGCACCATATGCCCCAAGACACTCTTCTGGTACATGTAGACCCCTACCCCGGACCTCGCATGCCTGTAAACCAAGCTTCCATGTTTTCCGTGTCTTTTGCATCTGCTTCTCCATTATTCCAACAATATAGGCCTCCACACCCTAGCAGCTAACCCTGAATCCGGAACACTTATATAACTATAGTGCAGCATAGCCCTAATTAAACAAATGTCCAATTACTTCACCTGTTCTAGGTAGTTATCATATGAACACAACACTTCAAAACCCTAAACCGTAGACAAGCCCTAGCTAACCCTGTAAAACCCCTATAACCACTATTATGAAAACTTGCCCCATGTTCAACCTAACCAAATTGCTGCTCAAACGTACCTCGGCCAGGATAATGCTGCTACGATCCGTCCTAGCAGTGGCATAATGCAGAGGCCTAAACGCTGATAGCTACAAGGGTTCTGGGTTTAAGGTAAGGGTTCAGCGTTTGGGGCCTTATTTACGACCCTGCTGTAGCGTCCCATTCAATGAGGATAGCCGTTCGGGGTATGACATGACTACTAGAATTCTGTAAGAATTATGAAGGGATGATGCTGGTGGATATTTGGGCTCTTGCTGTAGAGTTGAGGGTTTGGGTGGAGTATTCCTAAGAAGGAAAGAACAACCCCCCCAACCCCCCCCCCCCGCCGTAAGAGTAAGAATGAGCATTCTCTGTGCAGTGTCATTACCTCTTGTCGAATATGCACTAGGCGGGACGGTGGGGGGTTGTACTACAAGGCGGAAGGGGAAATTCAAGAGGGCAACTAAGGTATCCACCGGACACTGTGATAGTCCAACAGACCTGCATGATTTTAACCGAAGCCGGAACTGTTCGTCTGGGGTGGTGCTGATTTGGGGGTTTCCCAAAATTAGGGGTACCATTTTTGGGGTCCCCATAATAAGGATCATAGTATATTGGGGTCTATATTGGAGTCCCCTTATTTAGGGAAACTACCAGTTTGCTACCTACTTGTACTAAGAACTAGTGGCCACGGTTCCAGCATTAATTGCAATATCAATAGTCTTGGCATAATGATTACTTGAAGTCATAATATGAGCCAGAATCTAAACTCTTGGTATCCTCCTTAGTAGCCCCTGTAATACTCCCCAACGTATTTCCCTTAACAACCCCCCTTTGGGAGGTTTCGACCATAGCTAATATGGACCCTGTCTTTGGGCTAGACTGGACATCTGGGAGGGGAGACTGTCAAGAAGGCATCGTTCAGGATTTAGGGTTTGGGGTTTAAGGTTTAGGATTTAAGGTCTAGGGTTTTTGGGTTTAATGCTTGCCTCATCTAGGCATGTCAAAACGCATGTCATAACATAACAATTTCATGCTTCCCATCCTGGGTGAGATCGTGTGAGGTCATCATAGGCTGCTAAGACATTTTGCAAATTTGGATCTGTCTTAACAAGTAGGACTCTTTCAAGGATGGTGTTCATGGGGCCCTAAAACCCGAATCCTTGCCCAACACCCCCAGATCACTAAACCCAACTTAACAGTCCCTATATAACCCATTATTATGATAGTCCCTATATAACCGATTAGTATAGCTCCTATACAACCCACTAAAATAATCCCTATATAGCCCACCCTCCTAAACCCTAAACCCAAAAGACCGCTCCTGACATGGACAAGGCTTTCTCCAGGACCCCAGGTCAGCTTGTCAATGGTGCAGTCACTAGCACTGATCACAGGCAAAACCTCGGGCAGTGGGATGATTACTAGGGGGCAGCTTTAAGTTTGGCTCCCCGCATGAAGACCGATATACGCTGATAAGTATGGCTACCCCAAACCTTAAACCCCTAAACCCCTAAACCCTAAACCCTGAACCCTGAACCTTAAACCCTTAAACCCCTAAACCTAAACCCCTAAAGGATGCCCGGGCTCCTTCGACCTGAGCAACGCCATGCTACTGAAGGGCCCCTAAAGGTGGCAAGGCCTCCGGGAAACCAAACCTTGAGAAGTGCGGTTTCGGGTTTAGGGTTTAGGGCTTAGGGCATAGGGTTTGGGATTTGGGGTATAGGGTTTAGGGTATAGGGCTTAGGGTTTCAGTGTTTTAGGGTTTGGGGGGTTTAGGGTTTGGGGGGTTTAGGGTTTGGGGGTTTAGGGGTTTAGGGGTTTACGGGTTTAGGGTATCTTCCCAATCTAGGCCCTAAACCCTAAACCGAAATAGTAAACAATGTTTTCAACACAGTACATGCCATGGGCGTGGTCTAAGCCTGAAACCAATCCCCTGAATAAAAAGCGAGGCCCCCCAACCCCCCTAAGAGCAAATGCCCTAATATGGTGTAACTATACATTAGGGAGAATGTGTTTCACTAAGGGGTGGCTTTATTCACGGGAGGGGATTACACTACTTCCAACCAAAAACCTAAACTCGGAATCCTGAACCCTGGACCATAAGCCCAGAACTCATCCCTAAGCCCAAATCTCCAAACCTACATATCCTGATTTCTGGGGGCTGGGCTTGCCAGTTTGCCTCAGTCTTCGGCGTGCCGGAGAGCGTGCAGCAACGCCACTGAACCTGAGGCCCACAGAGGCATCGCATCCAAGGGCAACGTACGTGAGGGCTCTAAGGTATAAGGTGGCAACCATGCACCCTTACTGTTGATGCTCGACTTCCTGCATGCCTTTAGTATACAGTGATGCAATGGTTATCAAAGTTTAAGAGTTTAAGGATCATGCAGGATTTGTAGCAATAAACCGGGCAGTCTGTGATCTTGTGGGCTTGTTGCTGGGGAACGCGCTGCTGGCAGTCAACACTGCCCCTGTTCTATGGAAGTCATGTGAGCCGCAATCTAAACTCCTTCAAGGAGGTGATATAAGGACTTATATAGGGGAGTATCATGGGCTTACTAAGGGGGATACTAGCAGTTTAGACAATAGCTCCTTGTATACACTTCTTAGATGGCATGCTGACTTCTTCTGGTTGTGGGTTGTTAGCCTCATGCGTCACGCTAAGGCTCTTCAGCCTGTCCTGTGCTGTACGGAGGTTAAGGGTTTTAGGGTTTAGGTCTTAGAGTTGAAGGTTTAGGGTTTAGGGAAGGTTTGGGTGCAGGGGGCGAAACTTTAGAATCTCGCCATGAGGTCCAAGAACCCCTTGAACATCAACATGCCTAAACCCAAGCCCAATTCCAGTCCCTGCTAGAATGCACGAAAAAAACTCCCAAATAAGCCGAGGCGTGAGGGCCTAAAGCATCATCATAACCTTTCTGGATACCAAGTACTGCAACCCTGTGGCAGTATTTTGAAACACGCTGCGTAAAGAAGCCTTCCATATTACACCCCCCGCCCCGGAAAAAACCGTAACCCTGGAATTCGGCTTGTGTTTTCTCAGCAGCTGTATCAACTCATGGCGAAGTGACGTCAACAGTACTGAATTTTTCAGTAGCCTGGAGGGAAGCCTCCTACCTGACCCATCTCCTGCACAGGGGTGCCGTTGCATACCTGGGCTGCGCAGGATTCCTGAGGAAACGCATACTTTAAGGGCTACAAAGTTTAAGGTTCTGGGTTTAGGGACCCGCAAAAGAAGCAAAAAAGAGCATACCGCTTAACATCGTAGATTCGTATCCGATCCTTAGCTTCATCAGCAAGCCTTTCTCGCCATTGGTGGAGTTCACGCAGTTCATGGTCTGCGTCACCAAATCCTCTCTTCTCCAAAGTGTGGAGGAGAAATTCTACGAACTAGCTCATGTGACCCAAATATAAGCAACTGACAGCACTAACGAATCCCACCCCTAAGATTGAAGATTCCCAATGTGGTATATGATAGTGTGTAGGGAACTGTCTGAAACCACCCCAAGGTACTGAGGTCTTTATGCGTAGGCACCCTGGAACAATGGGAACCAGAATTTTGGCAGCCTCCAACACCCTGAGGCACAAATCAGAAAGTTCAAAGCTCTGCTATCGGTTCTGGAAGCGTCGGTCTGCGGCGGTAGAACTTGACCTGAGAGACAGATCTTCAGGACTTACCTTTGGATAGCTGGGAGTCAAGGAGTGGAAAAGGGAATGGAACCTAGAATGGGTTGTAAGGGAACGGAAACTACAATGGACTAAAGTTCCGGTATATTCCTTAATAGGTCCGCCCTGAAACCCTATATATTCCCCTATAGGTCCCCCCCAACCTAACTTTAGTCCGTAGCTTATATAGGGACTGCTATAAGGATTCCTGGCTAGGCAAAGGTAAGAAGAGAAAGCTAAACAATCTCGGAGTCAAACCCTCTACGACGGTGGCAACCTCAAGCCCCCCAACATATCCCCAAAAGCCTAACTGCAAAAACCTTAAACCCCAAACCCTGAATCCTAAGCCCTGAACCTTAAACCCTAAACCCTAAATCCTAGGCCAGAAACCTTAAACTTAAACCCTAAGCTAAAAAACCGGAAGCCCCACACCCCAAGCCAAAAACCTTAAACCTCTACCCGAAGCCCTAAACCTTAAACCCTCCAGAGCCTGTGGCTGGCTGTATATTCAGAGTGCAGTACTTCGGCACTGCTGCCTCAAAAAGGGCGCTCCGGGAAACTTTGGGGTTTAGGGTTTAGGGCATAGGGTTTAGAGTTAGGGTTCAGTGCAGGGTTTAGGGTTTAGGATCTTTGTAGGCTTAGGGATATATACCCCAATATGTGAACTGTTTTCCTGCCTAGAGGGTGCTCCAAGATCTACTTGCAGGTTCCAGGTACCCCTACCTCCATTATCTCACCCTGAGGGTCCAAGGACCCAAATAATAGGCCGCAAAACCCTATTATTTGGGTCCCTTAAAATCCGCGTTTGGGGCGACTACAGCTTGCTCACACGTGTACGTATAACCCAACCATTAGCCACAGAGTCCATCCTGGGCTTAGAGTTTAGAATTTGGATTTTACGGATTAGGATTTAGGGATTAGGGTTTTAAGGTTTAGGGATTAGGGTTTTAGGGATTAGGGTTTTAAGTTTTAGGGATTAGGGTTTAGGGTTTGGGGATTAGGGTTTGAGGTTTAGGGACTAGGGTTTTGGGGATTAGGGCTTTACGTTTTAGGGCTTAGGGTTTAGGGATTAGGGTTTAAGGTTTATGAGGATTAGGGTTTTAGGGATTAGGGTTCTAAGTTTTAGGGATCAGGGTTTAGGGATTAGGGTTTAGGGATTAAGGTTTAAGGTTTAGGGTTTGTGTTGGGATTAGGGTTTAGAGGTTGAATTCGGTGATAGCTGAATCAATCTGGGCGATAACTAACTACCCCAGGACCACCGAGCAAGGGCGGCAGAGGTAGTGATCAAGATGCAGGGATTAAATTCATGGGCTAGGTGGGGCTTGTGGTGGAGATCCTGAAAGCTGAATCCTAGACCCTGCACCCTGAATCCTAAACCCTAAACCATAAATCCCGAACCCTAGATCCTTAACCCTAGCCTGTGCTCAGAGGTTTGAATTATGGAAGGTGTCAGGGCTTAGGGCTCATGGACTAGGGATGGAGTCTTGGGCTGTAGTCCTTAAAATGAAGGGGTCCAGTTTCGGGGCTTCGGGTTTAGGACTAAGGCGAACCCTCAAAGCACAAGACATCCTAAAAACCAGACCTAAATTCCGAAACCCTAACCCCTAAATCCCAAACCCTAAAAACTAAACTACTAAACCCAAAGCTCTTAAACCCTAAGCTGCTAAAACTTAAGCTCTTGAACCCTAAGCCCGAAATCCTTGGCTCCTGAAGCCCAAACTCTTAAACGAAGCTGCTAAGCCTCTCACCATAGCCCTAAACCCGAAGCCCTAAAACCTGAGATCCTAAAGCCTAAAGCCTAAGCCCCAAACCCTAAACCCTAAACCTAAGCCCTAAAGCCTAAACCCCAAACCCTAAACCCTAAACCCTAAACCCAAGCCTCGAAGTTGAAGTTGGTCATCGGCACGTTCAGCGAGTTCGCAAACTTGGCCAATACTGTGACGGAACCGTTGGCCTGAAAGTGCTTAGGGGATTCAGGTTTTTAGGGTTTAGGATGTTAGGGTTTTAATACAAGGTGTAGGGCTTAGAGTTTAGGGTTTTAGGGTTTTAGGGTTTAGGATTTTTATACAAGGTGTAGGGCTTGGGGTTTAGGGTTTGGGGTTTCAGGGTTGCAGGGTTTTTGGGGTTAAGGGGCTGGGGCTTATAGGGTTTAGGGTGCAGACTCTGCCCGAAGGTGCTTAGGGAAGTTTTGGAGCTTAGGGTTGCCTAGGGGTAAGTAAGCATATATATATATATGAGTTTATAAATTGATATATACATATATATATATATGTATTATAGGGGTTATATAGGGTCTATATGGGGATAATGGTGGAAACGACTACAGTATACAGGAGTTATATAGGAGTCATATACGGATAATGTTTATGTATGTCTGTCTGTCTGTCTGTCTGTCTGTCTGTCTGTCTCTGTCTGTGTGTCTGTCTGTCTGTCTGTCTGTCTGTCTGTCTGTCTGTCTGTCTCTGTCTGTCTGTCTGTCTGTCTGTCTGTACGTATGTATGTATGTATGTATGTATGTATGTATCTATGTACGTATCTATGTATGTATCTATGTATG